CTGACGCGGTTCGTCCTAACGCGTTTCGTCCTAACGCGGTTCGTCCTAAAGAGGTTCGTCCTAACGAGGTACGTCCTAAAGAGGTTCGTCCTAACGAGGTTCGTCCTAACGCGGTTCGTCCTAAAGAGGTTCGTCCTAACGAGGTACGTCCTAACGAGGTTCGTCCTAACGGGGCCTGTGTGTGTTTCAGATGGTGGTGGCAGATGTCTTCAATCATCGTTTCTATAAAATCTACAACCCTGAAGAATCTCTGAGCTGCATTCTGGACCGGGACGACATCTTCGTGTAAGAAAAGACTCAAAGTCGTTTTTCAAACCGCGACGCGTCGGCTGCTCCCTCGGGTCTGAAGCTGCTGTTGTGTTCAGGTACGAGCTGAGCGCTCAGGACGAGGACGCCGTGCTGCTGGCGCTCTACCTGCGGGAGCGCTCTCAGTACCGGGACTACGGATCAGGCAGCAGCTCGTATGGAACCACTCTGTTCGGACACCCGCTGCTGCTCAACGTGCCGCGCAGCAGCTGCAGCCACGAGGAGCTCTACCAGCTGTTCCTGCAGCGGCTGGCGTGAGTGAGACCCAACAGTTGGTCACGCACGGCCCATATTTTCCTGACGGGTTTGGTTCTGTCCGTGCAGGCGCTACGTGAGACCCCCGGACCCGTCTGATGAGCTGGAGGAGGAGGAGGATGATGATGAGGAGGAGGAGCTGTATAAGACTCAAACTAACGGCTTCAGTGATGGTTTCATGATTTTCACTTTGATCTAAATAAAAAATAAAAACCTTGGAGGTTCGCTGCAGGAGTTCATGTCGGGCTTTTACTTCATCTCTTGTTCAACTCTGCTGCTCGTCTGGTTGTTGTTTTTCAGACGAGCAGAACAACGTGGAGCCAACCGGGCCTTCTGCACCAGAACCCTGCTGCAGTGACGCCTCTCCAAACAGCCAGTCAGACGGCACGGCGCCGACCAAGTCTGAGCCCGACGCCAACCACGCTCAGAGCCTCCTGGATCGAGTCGATGCAGCGATCAGCAACGGCTCCCAGACCAAACCCGCCGCCGCCGGCAGCAGACCCGAGGACACGTACGCCTGCGGGGACGCCAGACCCGACACCGGCGGCAGCTCAAAACCTCCAGCAGAACCACCGCGGCAGCTCTGCGGCGCCACAGGAGGAGGAAATGAGGAAGACGAGCAGGAGGAGGCTCGCTCTCTGAGCCCGCCTCCCAACGAGCTGCCAGCGAAGAGGAGGGCGTGTCGTCGGAGGAGGCGGAGCCTCTTCACCATCCAGGCGGTCAACTCCAATGGCACAACGGAGAGGGGGACAGGAGAGGGAGGGAGCGCCGTGTCCTTCAGCTGTGAGTCCAAACACACCCCGTTACCATGACAACAGGTACACACAGGGCCCGCCAGAATCCGTCCTGATGATCCGTTTGAGTCCAGTACTCGGACTTGATCCAGATCCACATGGAAGGAGCAGTTACTGAGCAGATTTACCTCCTGATGTTTGAGAAGAAATGCTTTTATTTTTATTTAGGTTCATGGAAAATATAACGTGAGGATTTATTTCAGTGACATTCAGCAAACTTTGTTTTAAAACAGTTAAAGGTTCTGACCAGAACTTTACGGACTCTGGTGCCCGAGTAGAGAAGCATCGATTCATTCTGAGTTCAAACATTTTAGAAATAACAAGAAAAACTACATTTCCTCTGAAAATGCAGTGACGGCTTATTGCTGAAGAACCTGCTGAGAAACAGCTGAAATTAGCTAAAAACATGCAGAAATGTAGCTGAAATAGAAGAACAAGCATAAATCAGCAGAAGCAGAAAGAACACGTTTGCTGAATTAGGTTTAAATAGGAAATAATTAGCACAATAACTATGAAATTAGCTAAAAAAGCTAAAATTTATTGGAAAAGTAGCCGAAAAGTCATAATGAAGCTTAAACTGCTACAAGGAAGTGGAAGGAGCTGAAAAGATATAGAAAAATGTGGAATTAGCTGAAAAAGCTAGAATTAGCATAAAACAGCTAAATAGTAGCTGAAAGAGCAGAAAAAGCTTAGCCTAGCAGAAATATGCTGAAAGGAGCATAACAAGCTGAAATTAGCAGAAAGAAGTTATTTGGCTGAAAGTAGCAGAAATTACCACAAAAAACTGAATTCAGAGTTCAGAATAAACTTTATTGGAATTGCACCGAGGTACAACGCGAATATGTACGTACAGTCGTCCGAAAGATGGGCGGAGTGCACGATGCTGCAACTACAGGAGAGCGCGGCCATTTTATCCTTATCAGATTTGATCTGAAAACAGCTGAAATTAACTCAAAATGCTAAAAATTGTCTTTAAAGGTAGAAAAAGCTTAAATTAGCAGAAGGAAGTGGAGAGAGCACATTTTGCTGAATTAGGCTGAATAAAGTTGACATGAGTACAAAAAATGTGGAATTAGCTGAAAAGGCTAAAAATATAAACACTTCAAAGTAGTAGCTGAAATAGCAGAAAAAAGCTGAAACTTGCAGAAATTAGCTGAAAGGAGCAGAACAAGCTGAAGTATCAGGAAGAAGTTAGAAGAAGCTCAAAAATACTGTAGTTAGCAGAAAGAATCTGAAGGAAGCACAAAACAGCTGAAGAAACAGCTGAAAGTAACTGAGAAAAGTTTAAATTAGCAGCAGGAAGCTGAAAGCAGCTGAAGCAGAACATGTGAAAGGAGCAGTAAAAGGTTGTAAACAGAGCTAAAGATGTAAAATGAGATCAGTTCATTTTCTGAGAGAAAATATTAAAACTAAATATTTCAGAAAGCTAAAGTTGCACTAGTACCAAAAGTCACAGCAGGATTGTCTCAAAGGAGCTGAACGTTTTGATTTATGATTTGTTGAAATAGATGAAAACTGCAGGACGAGAAAGATGCTGAAAAACGTACGGACTAGTTTAAAGAACCTGGAATAATAAACACAAACAGGTTGTTTGTTGTGTGAACGCTTCATAAACATTCACACAATAAACGAGACGACCTGAAGCAGTTTAATATTTACATCATGTAGATCTTTATGACCAGACCGTGCACGCCCTTTATCATCTCCTGTTGTTCTGCAGCTCAGCCCTACGTGGCCATCGACTGGGACCTGGACATGAAGAAGAGGTTCTACAACGAGAACGAGGCCGAGGTCAGAACCGTTTCCACCTTTTTAAAGAGCGAGCGGCGGCGTTCGGCCCCGAAGCGCTTTGAGCAGGCGTCAGACGGTGTGTGTGTCGTTCTCTGCAGCGCTACGTGAAACACGGCAGCATGGAGGTTCCTCAGCAGCAGAGCACGGTTCAGCTGCAGCAGTGCATCGAGCTCTTCACCACCCGGGAGACGCTGGAGGACGAGAACCCCTGGTAACAAACTACCGTTTACTTATTTTACTGATGTGACGCAGCTCCAATCAGTTTATATCCACCTTATTCCGAGCCCCCATGATGCCTTGCGTGAATTATGGGTGACTTCTGGTGCGGACCAGAACCGACGTTTGTTTATGTGAAAAGTACGAGCTAATGTAGTTTCTCTGAGCATCGTGGATTTAATTTAAACATGTAGGAACACCAGCTGTCAGAGCTCAGACAGGACAATATGATCATACCTCTGCTGCTGAGGACGAGGAGTGGAGGACGAGCTGAAGAAGTGGCTGCAGGTTACATCTACTAGCATATTTAGCAACTTATACTAGCATATTTAG